GAAAGAGTGCAGAGAAGAGCAACCAAGATGATTAGGGGACTGGAGGCTAAAACATATGAAGAACGGTTGCAGGAACTGGGTATGTCTAGTTTAATGAGAAGAAGGACATGGGGAGACATGATAGCAGTGTTCCAATATCTCAGGGGTTGCCACAAAGAAGAGGGAGTCAAGCTATTCTCCAAGGCACCTGAGGGTAGAACAAGAAGCAATGGGTGGAAACTAATCAAGGAGAGAAGCAACTTAGAACTGAGGAGAAATTTCCTGGCACTTAACCAGTGGAACAACTTGCCTCCAGAAGTTGTGAATGCTTCAACACTGGAAGTCTTTAAGAAGATGTTGGACAGCCATTTGTCTGAAACTATATAGGGTTTCCTGCCTAGGCAGGGGGTTGGACTAGAAGACCTCCAAGGTCCCTTCCAACTCTGCTATTGTATTGTATTGTTTTGTATTGTATACATATACATACACATACATACATACATATGTATACATACATATACACATACATATATATATACAGACACACACACATACATATATATAGAGAGATTCAAATATATACATATATATTCATACAAACAAACACAAAATGTATTATTTTATATTACTTAATCTGATGCTACCGTTCAACATGGGAACCTTCATCCCATATAGACTCAGATAACAGCCTCACCTTCTTCGCCTTTCCCCGAAACAGAGATACAAGTTCTACGTTTTTAAAAACCGCTTCGGGGATTTCATACGGAACTTTGTCTTGGTGAATTGGGGGGTGGGACGGGACGTTTATTGGGCTCGTCTGAGCGTTAATTTCGCCGAAGAAGAGGACAGGCCTGCAATTGATGCCGCCTCAGACCAACCGTCTCCCTCTCCTCATGTGAGATGCTCCGGGGGATTCCCAAGGGGGACAGCCACCATCTCTCCCCCGCTGTGATTCCGCGAGGGAAGAAAAGAACTCCGAGGCGGAGGGGCTCCAAAATGGAAGGGAAGAAGGACCGCCCGCTCCTCCCCTCCATTTTACCTCACGCACGCCGCCCTGGTGCTGCTGGGCCATGGCGAGCAACATGCCATCGAATCGCTCCTCGTGGTCGGCAGCCTCTTCCCCGCTGGCCCCCATGACGCCGGGATCGCTCGACTGAGATGCTCCCTTTCCTTTTCAGGGCCGCTCGGCTCGCCTCAGCACGCACTCCTACGAAGGCGACCGGAAACGGAAAAGAGAAGCGCATTCTGGCTAACCCGTTCCGGAAAGCTTTTGGCCAACCGTCGAACTCGCCGTCTTTGATTGGCAGCCGGCTCTTTCAATCGGCGACGAGAGGAAGTCAAAAGACGGTCCGTTAGCCCGCCCCCCCGTGTTTGGCGTCGGTTGCTACGGTTACCGTCTCTGATGGGGGGGATGATGGGAAATTCCACAACACACGTTCGGTGCGAAGAGGATGCTTTGGTCGTTTGCAATAAAACGTCAGAAAAGACCTGACTGAAGCTTTGAATTTATAGCTTTTATTCCCCGCTTCTTTTCTTCATGTTAGGCTCCCCGCCACCAACATCTCTGTAAAATGATTAGTCGATGGGAGTCCATTATTTGTAATCTCTAATGTTCTCACCTAGCGTTTTAATATTTTATATTATTTAATCTTTAACATTTTAAATAAATATTCAATGCTTTTTATTGTAGAGCACCCTTCAATATTGTTATTTCTTGGTTTTAAATTGCGTGTCCATCCACTCACAAAAATAAACTGGCCGAACGAACCCATAATCTTGCAGAAGTGTATTATTCTAAAATCACACATGTGACTGCCCACACCACTGTATTTTGCACCAGCTGAAGTTTCCACATACTCTTCAAGGGCAGCCCTGTGTTGAGTGTCACCCAAGCAAGGCTGTGCAAAGTCCCTCCTAGCTATGATTGCCATCTAGAATAGAATATAATAGAATTCTTTATTGGCCAAGTGTGATTGGACACACAAGGAATTTTTCAGTGTACATAAACAAAAATATAATCGAATACATTCATCAAGAATCAAGATACAACACTTAGTGATAGTTAAGATTACTAATAAGCTATCAAATCATACCAGGAAACAAATAAAAACAATATAAATTGAAAGATACAAGCAACATGGTTATAGTCATAAGTGGGAAGAGAGATATATATAGGAAGTAAGAGAAAAATAACAGTAATACAGTCTTGGTAAATTATTTGACAATGTGTGAATTAATTGCTAAGCAGAATGATGGCATTCGGGAAAAGGAGTTGTAAGTCCAGGAGGATCTTCCAAGTTGCACACCCGTTGATTGGGGCAGTGCAATCCCATCCAGCACCAAAGATGGGATCAACCTAGAACTGGCAGGCCTCCAAACCCAAAACTGCTCAGCCGTGCTAGCTGAGCTGAAGCCTACAGCCCATCCAGACCCTCACAGCTGTACAAAGAGTATTTTAAAACATGCTGCTTAAAAATTATGGGATGCTGTACAGAAATATAGACGTTCTAATATTCTTCTACAATTTATTTAAAAAACTTATATGATTACCCATCTCAAATAGAGCAATGTCACGTAAACAATAAAAACAATAGAGGCAAAACAAATCAACTGTTCCATTCAAGAGTCAAACCTACCAAATTATTAAGCTCCTGACTCAATCCCCACCCTAGCTCAGTGCGGAAAAGCCACTTTCTAGCCAGGGAAGGCAAAAATGTTAGTGGTTCCTCAAGTATCAGGTGAGAAACTATTGGAACATGGTGGGGTGGCTATGGAGAAGTTGGGCTTCCAAGGCCGGATTAGATGACAACAGTTAAGGGAAAAGACTTGGAGTTCAGCCATCATTATATAACCAAGTGGTATGAACAGATATCCTCAGGGAGAGACATTTCCACAAATAATCTATGCCATGGAGGGCTTTAAAGGTGATAATCGGCGCCTTAAATTGTACCTGGGAAACAACTAAAAAGTAATGCAGCTCATTGCTGCAATGGTGTTACTTGGACAAATCTTAGGGTGCCCAAAAGTGCATGTGCTATTGCATTCTGGATCAATTGCAGCTTCGGGGTAGTCTTCAAGAGCAGCATTGTAAAGAGCATTTTGTTTGGGTGCCTTGAAGTCATTGTTGACTCCTGGTGATTGCCTGGACTAGTCCCTGCCGTTTTCTTGGCAAGATTTCACAATTGATTTTTCCATTGCCTGTGTAGTATAGGAAGTTAGCACCACCTCTCTCCTAGAGAAATGAAATATTTTAGGAAAAATTAAAGGGGCATAATATTTCCCCTAAAAGGGAGACAGAAACTCAGACGCCCTCCCACCTTCGTCAATGGGCCATTATGGCCTGAGTCAGTCTATTCTACATAACAAAGATCTACCTACTTCAGGCAGAGTCATAATAGGAATCCCAAAACCCTTTCATTACATCATCACGCAGCAAGGCTCAACCAAGCCTGGGACACAGACAACCTACAGAGTTGCATGGCCCCATGGGAGTCTGACAACCAATCAGAATACCAGCTCAAATTCAAAAGCCCAGAGAGGGCTTAAAACCAGGGTACTCTCAACATCTCTTCCCTTTTCTGTTCAGGACCTCAAGCCATGTGATCCTGTCCATCATTAAACCTTCTTTCCAAGCAACTTCCATGAATCCAGTGTCCTTTCCCTCACTTGGAACTGAACCCAGAAGGCTATTTTTTCCAATAATTGTCCCTGGAGTTTTCTTGGCAATATTTCAGAAGTGATTTTTCCATTGCCTGTGTAGGAAAAATCATAAGACACCCCCCCCCCCTTTATTTTTATGTCCCCAGAGAAGGCAAAGAAAAAACATCCACAGAAGCTAAAGCAATTCCTGTCTCCCAGCCAGAAAGGCCTCAAGTAAGCCCCGGTTAGAAGATGGAGACAGGCTGAATTGACAGGTTTAAGTCAGAAAGCACAAAGCCACATAGATGTTGTGGGCTGCCAGCGGCCAGCAGAGCTGGCAGTAGATTTGGACAGCGAGGAGGCACATGGGCCAGTCCTGGAGGCTGGGGAAGGTTCTGATGAGGGCTCTGTGTCGGAGGCAGAGAGGGGGCCAGGGCCGTCTGACAGTTATCAGCTGCCTTCAGAATCAGACATCAGTGAGGCAGACAAACAACTGGAGCCTGTTCCCAGTGTGCGCATGTGCAGAGTTGGCAGACGAAGGGAACAGCTAAAGAACAGGGGTTAACTTGGGAGTAAGGTCACAGATGGACAATGAATGGCTCCTCCCATAGGGAATAAAGATGAGCAAAATGGAGTGGAGTTTGCAGGAGACAATTAGTTTGCTTAATTGGTTTGTGACTCTCCGAGACTCCTTGACAAGTTTTGCAGATACCGGTGTGTGTTACCTCTCCAAGCCAGATAAGGTCTGTGACTGTAAATCCTCCATTGAAAGATTTTGCTGGATGTGAATGAGA